GTTTACGTGAGATATCAGTAATTTATACTTAATTTATATTATTCTATTATAGAATTTAAAAATCCGCGATGTTAAAAGTCTCTCAAACAAAAACGAATTAAATAAATATCGTGCGATTAATTTATGTGACAAGTTTTTATTGTATAACGACTAATTCAATCTATACTTATTTGGCGCTGTGGCTTTATCATAATTATGTGTTATCATTTTGCATGAATATAAATATATCTATAATCTATATTTACTGTAGCGATTGTACTTATAAAAGTTTAAAGTATAAAAGAAATTACTATATATAGATTATTAATTTTAAGATGATATATATATATATATATAGGTATATATATATAGAGTTTACAGTCGTTCTTATTACGTTAATGAATCGATTAACCGGCTAAAAAAAGAGATTTCTTCATGTAAAAAGTGATGCTGGCGCGTGACGTCTACATACGTAACAATCAAAAATTATGTGTGTATATAATTTTTGGACGCTTCAACGCCAGCGTATAAACGTCCCATATCAACCGTTTCGCGTTTTCCTCTCTTTCCTTTTCTCCCATGTCTATAGCGAGTTTGGTCGCGAGACACAACAAAACAACGCGAACTGCCACGTGGTCTTTCGTATACTTTTCTCCCTCTCTATTCCCCTCTCTCCCCCTCTAAAATAACACATCCTTTCTTCCAGTCTCGCTTACGAGAAGCTTCGCCCAAAAAAAAAAAAAACTTCACTCCGTTTCGCCTAGTCGACAGCTTTCATTAAGCGCGCGCGCTGACACACAGATTCATTCATCTCTCTTTCACTCTTTCTCTCCCGCTCTTTTACTCTCTCTCTCTCTCTTTCTCTCTCGCTCGCTCGCTCTTTCTCTCTCTCTTTTTTTCGCAAAAAAAGCGAATCACCAACGTGACGACGGCGATGACGAAGGAGCGCCGTGCCGCGCCGGGCCGACGATGAGGCGCGAGCACAACGTCGCGTGCACGACGTGCGTATCCACCTGCTGTTGCGAGCAACTTGCCGAACCGACGCAGCCGTTCAAAACTCGGCGAACTCCTTGGCGCACTTCTCCGTCAGCGAAATCCTCAAGGTCTCCTCCTCGTAATCGTCGAAATTGCTGGTGTCGCCTGGTCCCTTGCAGCGCGGTATAAACGGCGCCTCTATTCGCTTCTGGAAGACGGCTATCCAGTCGGTGCTGGCGAACCACTTGTGGCCCTTGATGTCGTTTACGCCCGCCTTGAGGTTGCCGTACCTCTTGGTGAGGTCGACCTGCAGCAGATTGCGCAGTAGATCCTTCAGGTCGGAGCCGAAGTGCGACGGGAAGCGCGGTTTGCCGCTGACAATCTTCTCGTAGATCTGGATCGGCTGGTCGGCGAAGAATGGTGGATAGCCAGCGGCCATCTCGTAGACCAGCACGCCCAATGCCCACCAGTCCACCGCCTTGTTGTAGCCCTTGCTGAGGATGATCTCGGGCGCCAGGTACTCCGGCGTGCCGCACAGAGTCCACGTCCGTCCCTGCACTCTCTTGGCGAAGCCAAAGTCGGTGACCTTGAGATAACCCTGCGAGTCGATAAGCAGGTTCTCCGGTTTCAGGTCCCGATAGATCAGGTCGAGGTAGTGCAGGTACTCGAACGCGAGCACAATTTGAGCCGCATAGAAACGCGAGTGCGGCTCCGAGAAGCGGCCGACCTTGCGCAGGTGGCTGAACATCTCACCGCCGGGCACGTACTCCAGCACCATGTACAGGTAAGAGTTGTCTTTGAAATGAAAACGCAACGATACGAGAAACGGAAAACTGATCGCCTGTAGTATCCTCTTCTCATTGAGCGTGTGCTCGACCTGTTTAAGCTTGACGACCTTTTGCTTATCGAGTATCTTCATGGCGTAGTACTCCTTGGTGGGCTTGTGCTGGACGATCATCACGCGACCGAACGAGCCGGTGCCCAGGGTCTTGATGCGCTCGAAGTCGTCCAGTCCGGCGGTGTTGGTCGGATTCTTCTTCCACTTGTCCTCGAACTCCTTCTTCGCCTTGTCGAGGAACTCCTTGACGCTCTCGGCGGCGTCGACCTTCTTGTTGGCGGTCGCGGCATTGTTGCCCATTTTAGCTGCCGCGCTGGTGCCCGAGTCTGCCAGGGCAGCTCCACGGGACTTGAGGTAATCCAGAGGACTGCTACGTCTTCGTCGGCGTACGTCCGCGTCCGCAGCCGCCGATGAGCCTGCCAGGGCTCCGCCGAGCTCCGGTCTTCTCAGAATTTTTGCCACCTTCTAACACGCGCTGCCGTTATGGCCCAGACGTCTCTTCTTCGTAGCGTCCCGCGGAAGTCACGCGAAACGCTCCGCACTACTGACAATGATGACGACAACGAAGATGTGGTTCTCCCTTATCCCCCCGGTTATTGTCCACGTTGCTCCCAAAGAAACCCGGGTCGAGACTTGGGTCCTCGGGGGAGAAGAGCGCGCGGGGAACGCGACGACGATCTCGCGCGCGGCACACGGGGCACCGTCAAAAAGGTAGAACCGAGATCGTGCACGGGGGAAGAGAGAGACAGAGGCGGGTTTCAACACGTACACTCGCGCGAGTATTATCACACGGTAGAAAAACAGGCCACACACAACACACACACGCAGGGGGTAGAAGCGCGCGCGCGAGCGCGAGCGCGACGCGAGAGCGGCACCCTCCCGGCGCAACTCCGGAGTAGTCCGCTCGCTCTTTCCTCTCTCGCGCTGTCCCTCTCTCTCTCTCTCTCGCTCTCTCCTACGGCTTCCTTCCCTACTGTCGCCGAGTATATTCCTCCCGGCGAACGTCACCACACTCCGCGAACGGCGCTCGCCCACATCAAGCGAGAGCGAGTGAGAGCCAGAGAGAGGGGGGGAGGTAGGCGAGGGAGAGAGACTCCTCCTCCTCCGTCGTCGTCGTCGTCGTCCTTTGGGCGAGAGGCTCCCGACTCCCGGAGATTTGGCGCGTCGGAAAAAAATGGGTCAGCAGCGATCCTCGTCCGCGGCTCGCGCCATCTTCTCTGTCAATTGTACCAGTCCGTCGTCGTTGTTCGGCGGCGGCGACGGCGGCGGGGTGCCGTTTCTCCTCTCTCTCCCTTTCTCTCTCCCTTTCTCTCGCGCAAAACACACACGCACGGTCAATTCGTCCGTCTATTCGGCCTGCTGCACCGCAATTAAGTATCTCGCCCACCTGCCCCCGTGTCCCGTGCCCGACACGAGCAAAGTCACACAGCCACAGCACCAAGTTTCGCTGATCGTCGCGCGCGCGTCAAGAGCCCGGTTCGGAGCTCACTCGCACGCGAGACAACGGCACGCGAAGGAGGAACGAAAAAAGCGAAATCTCGCACTCACCGACTTCTTACGTGACGCGACGGCAGCGACTGCACGGCACACTCCGACGACGACGTCCTGACCGACCGAACCGTATCTTCCGTTCGTACTCCTCACTCACGTCAGTTCTCGTCCCCGTGGTACTCACTTGTGTACTCCTCCTCGACGTGACGTTCGCGAAACGAGTGTTGCGCGACGGAGAGGACAGAGTTGACGCGAAAGGAAGATGTCTCGTCGTGCGAGGAAGCTACTCGCGGCGCGCACCTCGTCTTCCTCGCCTCGCGCCCCGGCACGTAATAATGTAAATCGAGCGCGATGACGGGGCGGCACAGTCGATATCGGAGTTTGCTCTCTCGGCGGCGAGACGAGACCGTTTCGCGTTCCCGGCGTCGCGTCGTGTCGCGTATCCACGGAGGCGCGCACACACACACGGCGCTCCGGAGTAACGTGGTGCGATTGTCGTCGGCGACGGCGATGACGTCGACGGCGACGGGCGGCTGTTGGGTACAACCGTGCCTAAAGATGGCGACGCGACTCCTCCACCGCTCGTACGTTCGGGGGGGTTTTTCGCACGAGTGCGAAAGTGACGAAGTGCCGCTCTAGGAGGCGAGAGAGCTACTGTGCGCCGCGGGTCAGCTGTTGCTTTCACGCGCCGCCGAGAGATGTAGCGTCGTACGGACGGCGCGCCAAGTCGGCAGGTGCTGCTGCCGCGACGGCGCCCGGAACTGAGGCACGCCGAGCCGACCCGAGGTTAGTCGAGGGCCCGCCACCCGCCATCTCGGCCGCTCAACGGTGATGTCCGCGCGCAACGTCACGCAACACGCGCGCAACAGAAGCGGAACGCTGCTGGCTTCTTCCAAGGAGCCATTTAGACGACTTTCTCAACGTGAACGTTATTTCAGAATTAAAAATTATGCCGCGACGCGACACTCGGACTACAAATTTATGCAATTTATTGATGTCGAAATCGCAATTGAAGGAAATCTTAAAGGGATTGGAAAAATGTAACGATCGATATGTTGTATACATGTTCAAATACTTCAACAGAAATTAATGAAAGATGTATGACTAACAATCATTAACTGCTGTTCCTATCTAATGTCTCTCTAACATCGTAGCATTATTAAGATAGTAAGATAGTTAATCGTAGTATTAGTCATATGTGCATGTTTTACCTAATAGTTGTGATAATTTTTTTTATCAGAACATGTTATTTTGTTATCAGAGAGAATTGTCATTTCCAAACTGGAAACACTTTTTTTCAGGAGGACCGCCTATCGAACTATCGCTCGAGTTTCGAAAGAGCCATGACCTCATTCCATCGACATTCTCGAGTCTCTTTCCAAAAAGCAAGCTGGGCCCCGAAGATGCCTCGAGCCAGCCCTGATCGCAACGAGCTCCAAGAAGACGATTGTGTCACGTTCCTCGACCACGAGAACAGCACCTCTCTCTGAGTCAGCCGACCGAAAAACTTATGTCGCTCTCCGCCGTCAAGGTTGCTTTTGAAATTTGGAACCGCTGAAATCACGCGCGCGGACGCGCGCGCGTGAACGCGCGCCCGCCGCGACCGCGCTTTTATCTCTCTCCTTAACGCGGATAACGTCACGTCGGATTCCCGCGCGCTCGAGAAACTTATCGCACGGGAAACGCACTCTCTCGAAAAGACACACGTGCGTAACCGCGAGAATTATCGTCGGCAATCTAACGCCGCGCCCGATATAAGTATCGTTACGCGTCGCGATAAAAAAAAATCCTCTCTCTTTCTCTGCCTCCTCTTGCCCTCCGAGATACCGCCGAGCATTTGAGCGAAACCTTTCTCTAGCATTGTAACTCTTGCCAACTGTATTTCCTTGTGCTCCATTTATTCGTTTATTCGTACACTCGAAATCCGAAAACTGATTTGCAAATTCGGTTGGATACACTGCAGGCGTGCTGATCGCTAAATGCCAAAGAAAAAAATCGTGCGCAAAAGTTACTGAAATAAAATATGAAACTATCTAAACGGTGACATTATAAATTCTGAAAAGTCAATAGAAAGTAAATTTCAATTCTGTTAAACAATAGTTTGAGCTGAATGTTTCGTCGATAAATCTCTTTTCATCCATTCGCTGCAATCCCTTTTTCCTTCGACAATACGACATTCATTCGTAATTCTATTTCGCAGCCTGTCTACTTCCTCGCTGATCTCTTTAATTTAATTTCTCGAGAGAGAGATATATCTTCTCTCTCCTCGCCAGAGCCAGTTTATTATGAAATCAAGCTCCGTGGGGCTCGAGAAAACAGCCCGCGCGCGCTCTATCATAATAGTATTTCTTATCTCAGGATTATCGAATTGGGAGAGGTCGAGCGAGTCACATCCACGAATACGAGCAATATTAAAACGGGCACTGAGGCGCAACTTCGCGTACAATAATTTTCACGAACGACGCGTACTCTACCGCTTGAAGGCTTCATCGCGCCCGCGGTGCTCGGGGAGATAAAACAGACCGACTATTGTACGAGTGAAATCGACCGTCCTATAATTCGATACACGCGCGAAATCATTAGACGAATGGCTTCGAGAAAAGTTTACATAAGAGGCATTTCTTTTATTGTATACCACGAGCTCTCTTTCGTATGGGAACGCCAACCGTCCCAAATATATATATACTTCGTCCGAACGTCTTTTCGAGTGCAAGAATATACATATACACATTAGAAGCGAGCGCATCGCGTCGAATAAAATCGGTCCGCCTTACGTGCGGATCCTACAAATCGTCGTGTCGCCATCGCGACGCGCAACACCGCGGTCGGTAGATAACAGACGCGGGACTTGTTGCTGTCAGTCACGTCAACGGGGGAACCGGTTCGAAAGCTCGGAAAGGCCCCGGCGTCTCTATACGAATAGACTCGCGTGGACGGCCGTCGTAGCCGTCGAGAGGGTCTCTCTCGCTCTCCTTTTTTCTCTCTCTTTCTCTCTCGCGACGGCAGCGATGGCGACGGCGATGACGACGATGGGCAATGGCGGGCGTCGTCGTTGTCGGCATCGAGCGGCAACGGGGCGTCGGGGCTATTAATAATGATCGGATACTGAGTATCGCGGTATCGAACCGTGGTAGATAGAGGTGTACGGAAGGTTGAACACCCGCTGACCTGTGATAATCCTTTGCCGATTAGTTCCCAACTGTAGACAGAGGCGGCGCGGTTTTAGAACGGTCGACCGACGGGAAAGCGCCGGGCAGGCGGGAGAGAGAAAAAGAGAGGAGAAGAAGAGAGATACGGAACGCGCGCGCACGCGAGAGAGAGAGAGAGGAGAGGAGGGGGGAGGGAAAGCTGGGGGATAGGGACGAGAGGATGGGCGAGAGGAAGACGGGACGCTCGCGAACCGGTTGCTCGCGAGTCAAAAAGGTGCGACCGGGTCAGGCCAGCTCGAATACACGCGGGCATTTTCGTGTGTAGCACCGCCGCGTTGTGAACGCCACGATAAAGCCTGGATAAAGAGACGAGAAGAGAAAAGGTAGCCAGGCGTACTTGGAGTTTTACGGCTGCAACACAAGAAATTTATACCGTCAAACGGTGAATGATTATAATCGCGCCGAATCGCGATAAATATCGAGTTGAGATGAGTCGACCGAACGATGCATGCCAATATTTTGACAGATCTACATATACGATGACTCGGAAGCGAGGAACAGTTCTTACAGATATTTAATACTGGAAGACAGTGATTAATTTTTTTTTTTAATATTCAAAATAAGTAATTTTCAATTGAAGTTGAATTTCTTTAAAGGAGGATTAAAAGATATTACATGAAGGAGAATAAGATAAGAATGTAATCTAACATTTAAGATAGATTTTCAGCCACGTATAAATTTATATCTCAAAAATTGTGGATACTTTTTCCTGTGCAACAATTTCATATAGTAAAGGAAGTAAAAAATACGATAGAGCGCAGGCATTTATTGTGACATCGGATCTTTTTTATCAGGATTCTCGCGTACATATATTATGAGTTTTGCATATGAGTACATTTTGTTTGTGTTCGATGCCACGTGCCTCGCGTATCGCGGAGATGATCCACACAATTTGCATGTATGCCATTCTTGTTTGCGTGTTCCAATACCATCGGAGATATATGCACAAAGGGGCCTGTGGGAGTCCGCTTGTACTTGTTTAGGGTTAAGCTCGGTCTGATTCTACCCTACGGGATGCGCGCGTCCACGCCGCTCTCTATTGATTCCATGACCCGAAGCGGCGAGAGCCAATTTGTCGAAGGGAAGCGCGCTTTCCTTAGATGGAACATTTCGTCGAGAGAAAAGATATGGGTTCCCGAGGTGAGAGACGCGTGTCATTCTTCAAACTTTCGGCAAATCTACGCGAGCACAATTGGGAAATCAGTCTCGGGGGATCTTCGAATGTCCATACGTCATTCGTCATTAAAAAGAGACCCTTTTTTTCTTTAACAAAACTCTTCAATTATTTCGATTTCTACGGGTGAATCGCATGGCGCTTTTCATCACTTTAACGTCAAAACCATATAATCGATAATTCATACTCTCTCGTCTTCCCGCAATGTATATCAAAGTGTAATCTACGACGGAGCCTGTCTCTTTAAGCCGAGAACATGCCATACCCTCGAGATCTTAATATATGTATGCACCGCTTCATTATGCAGATTATTTAATGAGTTTCTTTCACGCCTCGCGCGCGCTTTCACGCGGACTTTGCATAGATCGTCGCGAAAACGCAATATTCCGGCGCGTATCCTTGGGGCGGTATTTATTCGGGGCGCTATTAATAATCGTATTCGTATGTAGGCCCCACTGGAAATACATGTCGACCGCCGCCAGTGTATTTCCATTTCTAATTCTGATCCCTTCCCTCTCTCTCCCCCTCGCCTTCCTCCCCCCATCACCCAGCTCTCTTTGTCGCGTGAGCGTAAACGCGGAGTTACCGCGCGCGTCTCGGGAACCTAGACCCGAAAGTGCATGGTGAAGTGCACCTTAATAAGAGCGACACCCGGTGCGAGGCGGAATTCAGTCCAGCGAAATGAAAATTTAGATGCGCGCCGGCTATCTTTAGCAATCCCGACACACAGAGCGGTGGCAGAGGAGTGTTGCCACCGGCGAATATAGGTTACTGTCGTCGGAATAGATCGCGGTCGTCGGGGCAGGCGCGTCGTCCGCGCCGATGGAAACGCGGGCTTCGGCCCTTATCGGGCCGAAGTTACCCAGTTTCGTGTGAGCATCGACCACGGTGGAAAACGAACGACGGTCGTGCGTCGACAGGCGGAAATAATTCTCATTACGATCAACAAAGCAAATATCGTTAATTTATTATGACCGGGGTGAGGGAGAGGGAGCGCGCGCTTACGTAAAAGACCCCGAAAGGAAGAAGGGAGAAACATGCCGCGATCGCCGCGAATTTCAGCTTCGACGGTAGCGCGTGGGAGACGACCGGAGAAAGAGAGCAAAGATGAAAAGAGGAACGAAGAGAGAGTGAGAGAGGAGGAGGGGGGGCAGGAGAGAGAAAGGGAGCGCGCGCTCGCGCGAACGAGAGCGAGAGCGAGAGAGAATTAAATATTCCCCTCTCGCTATACGACGCACGCGTATACGCCGCACGTTGCTTTCCCTTGTGAAAGTTCCGTCGAAAACTCCGCGCGCGGATCTGGACGTGGAGCCGAGGTACACCCGGACCGGAGCCGCCGTTTCGCCGAAAGATGCTCGGAAGGAGGCATCTGGCCGCCTCGCGCCTCACCTGCGCACGGTGTACGGCAGCTGCCGCTCGCTCGCTCGCTCCGATTATCTTCGTGCTTACGTGGACTGCCGGCACGTGTGCCAGAACAAAAAATATATTTACGGACCGGGCGGAACGGCACGCCGCTGCAAGCGTGGCCAAAAACTCGCGCCCGCGCGACGACGCGATTAAACGATAAATTATCTCGGCGGGTATACATTATTTACCATTAGATCTCCCGCGAGAGACGTCTGTTTCGGAAAAATACATTATTTTCGGAAATGTGATATGTCCCCTGATATCATACATATTTATATATTTTTCACGAAAACTAAAAGAGGAATTTGAATGATTTGCTACTCAGCTTTTCGTGACTTATATCGTTAAAGGCATTCGGCTATGAAATTGGCGAAATTAATGCAGTTTCGCTGCACGATTATTGCAACAACGAAATGACTGTATGTATACGTTCTCGAATTGAATGAACTCTCGAGGGGACCTCATATATTTTTCCTCGCGACATGACCCTTTCACCCCTCATCGCGATGCAAGATATATCGAAGAAAGCGGAAGCCTAGGGACGACGTGAACGGAACCTGTTCCTAAAAAGAGATCGAACGATCTCCGCGCGAGGGAGTCGAGGGGGCAAACCGATTTCTCCGGCGAACGCGTGTTATTGCAGCGTCGCCCGTCGTGTTGCCACGAGGGAAATCTTCGCGTTTTATCGGAGCTGCCCGAAAAGCAACCTGTAACATGGACGCGAAGGCGGTGGGCGAAGAGAGCGATGCGCCCGCGGTTCGTCGCGCACCGTACCTTTCCCGCACACCGGAAGCGCTGCCATACCGCGAAACTTCTAGAACTTTCCCAAGCGCGATCGTCCCGTGGACGCGCGACCCCTCGGCCGGACCACGCGAGCCGAGCGCGAGTCACGACCTAATCGATATCGGCGAGTCATTCTCGATGTGGCACGAAGGATGTCGGATGTTTTTCGCGCGAGAGGCGAAACACGATCCGTTTCGCGTAAAATAAACCGGCCGACGCGCGACCGGAAGCACGCGTGTATTTTTCGACGCGAGGTGGGATCTAATTGGACGAGCCGCGAGGTAGGAAGAGAGAAGGCCGCTCGCGGGACGTTGGGGGAGGGGGACGGTGACGACCGGGAGGGGGTCAGGCAGGGAGGCGAACGTGGGGAGTCGTGTCGAGAGTCGAGACAGCGAGATGTCGCTGCCTTCGCCGTGCCGAGCTGCGTGCCGCGAATAATCGAATGGCCGCGTTTGCCAACGTCGTACTCCCCTTATTTTCTCGCTCGCTTTCGATCGCTTTCGTTGGCGTGGGTAGCAATTGGACGCGATTTCCGTCGTTGCTTTCGAACGCGATCTCTCCACGACGTCTGAATGTGTACTTGGTAGCATCATTGGCTCCTACTTGATTACATGACCGCAGCGAATTGCGATCGCACTTGAGGTATCGATATTCTGTGGATAAATTTTGATATATGCCTGCGTGAAGTTTAACAGGATCGGCACACTTGCAAATGCAAATGACAGTCACGAAGATGATATCGCGCAACGGTAGCAAAAAAACCGGAGAACCATCGCGCTGAATAAGACATGAGGAACAAGGAATAAATATAACGGTTTATCCACAATAAACGTATTGATGTGTATAGGAACGGGATCGATATTTCAGTTGATCCAATTTACGATATTATGTATATACGGAATGATGTATCGCAATCTAATATTTTCTACCTTTATAGCTAGACAAAAAAAACCGCCTTTCTATCCATTAAAAAGTAGTTTAAAATTTTATTTGACGATTTACAGAGCAAATGGACATTAAATTACTTATTCGTTTTCTTTTTTTTTAGTCACGAAAATTTGATTATTCCGTTACAATACTCAATACTTAATCAAAATATATCGACGCGATGACATTTACATGTAACAAGCATTAAATATTACTCTCCTCGTCGTTTCTAATATTTCCCTTTATGTTCCCCATTATTCATTCGTTTCCAACGGAGCTGCGAAGGCTCTCGTTTCCCCTTGTAGACTCGAGCGCGGCGCGCGCGCGTGTGTCGCGACGCGAGCGGCGCGCCATCTGTAAACGAGCGGGAAAGAAAAGCGTTTGAAGGCCGCCGGCCCGCCGGCCGGGCCGGAGTCGCTCGGGTCTCGGGCGAATCAGTGCGCGTTTCCCTCTGCCATTTGCGCGTCGGTACGCGGCAGCGGTGTTACCGGAATCTCCGACGTGTGCTTACCGGTGCGTAGAAGACGCGTAACCGCCGTGTCGGTTGAGGTGTGCTTTCACGAGTTCGTGTGCAGTAACGTGCGTGGATTTCTCACGATCAAATCGATCGGTATGGCGGACACGGAGGTCAAGTGAGTATATATATGCGGTTAGCCGGTGCGTAAGTACGCGGTAAGCGGGTATCGATTCGACGGCGGAAAAATCGCGCGTACGGCGTCGGTTCCCTCTCGACCGCGCGCAAAGCCGTTGTCGCCGATCGTGCGATCTTCCCGCGTCCGTCGATCTCTCTCCGTTATCGTCGCCGACGACGATGTCGTTGTTGTCGTTTCCTCGTCGCCTTCCGACCGCTTTCGAATTATCGCGGAGACGACGACGATGAGAAAGGTTGGCGAGCACACGAAGAGAGAAGGGGCGACGTGCGGTGTGCGCCGGGGGGGAAGTGAATAAGCGAGCGATGCCCCTCTCTTTCTCTCTCTATCTCGCGGCCGCGACAATACTCTCGGACCGATTCGCGGTACGCCTAACGATCGCTGGAAATTACCTGCCCTTGCCGCCGCGCGCGCGACGCGACGCGACGCGACCCGACCCAAGCCCGACCCGACCCGACGCGTGCTCTACTTGCGGCGGTTTTATGGCGGGCATCGTTTCGTCCCGCGCCGGATCCTCTTTCTCCTCTCGACTCCCCCTGTATCCCCGCGACCGTCCGCCCGCGCACGATCGAAGACGAGCGCATCGCCGCCGATCGGCGGCGATGGCGGCGGTGGCGACGGCGGCGGCGGCGGCCTCGTGTTCCTTTTGTCCCTCGCGCTCGACCACTTCGCTCGTTTGTTTACGTCGTCTATGTATATGTGCGTGCATACATGCGCGCGCGCGCGCGTATGTGTAATACATTATCATGCATACGTACACTCATACGTACGCACACGCAACGCACGCGTCGTTTTTCGCGGGAACCACCCTCACCGCACCGCGCTCGGAAGAAGACGAGCGAATATATACATACGAGGACGATCCCTCCGTCTCAGCTCTTTTCTCACGTGACTCTCTCCCTCGCTCGCTTCCGAGCGAGAGAAATCGTTGTCTCGGCCCTTCGTCTCGCGCATCGGCCCGAAAGCGGTCGACGACGTGTATCGATCTGCCGGCTCGCGTCGATTAGACGTAGCCGGCGACGACGACGACGACGGCTACGGCGACGACAATTCTACCCGGCGCGAATCGACTCCCGCCAAGGATTCTTCTTCGCGAAACGAAAAACCGGTGTAATCCTTCAGCGAGACTCTCCCGACATGATAGACGCGCGAAAGAGAGCCATCCGTCTATATTTATCCTTCGATCGGTTTTCAATTATTCGACCGGTTTCAATCCCCCGTCGCTGTCGAGACGGAGAGTAACGGCATATCCTTCATGTTCCCCCTTGCACGCGTGAGATACGATGTCGAAAGCATGTATGAGGACGCGTGTATATATCGCGCGTTACGTATTACACGCCGCGTTTACGACCGCGAGCGTCCAACGATTCGCCACGCTGAAGCCTTGTCAGTGTGGTGATCGTGGCTGTGAACGTGCGATAGTGGTAGTAGTAGCGATGGCGGCGGTCGCGGTGGTCGGATGACGCGAGGGGTCGTAGGGGGGGCAAAGGGGACGATCCGTCGAGGACCGACCGAAGGGGGGGTGATGCGGGGAAGATATAATATTAAACTCGCTAGATGCCGCCACCGTTGGCGGCGTCCTATCCCTATTTCTCTCGGTTCGTCGCGCCGTCCTTGTTGCCAGCCAGCAATGTGAAACGGCAGCAAATACCGAAGCTGGAGCGCGCCAGCAACGGCTTAGTCGATTTTAAACGGGAAATGTATATCGCGCCAATCCGTAGTTTTTTTTATCGCATTTCCGTTATACCTCTTGCACTGGTGTTTATAAGAACGAGACGATTGCTTTACGATTGAATTGATCTTATTTTTGTAGTAACTTATTTATCAATAACTCATTTATTCTTTGAAAGATTCTTATATGTATATAATCAATCATTATTTATACATTGATTCATTTCTTGTGTCAGTATAAAAGTGATAAGTTAGTTACATAGTTATTCAAGCAAAAAATGATTCTTTAATGAATTATTAAATTTACTTTTGTGGAATATATATTTCTGTAATTAAATTTTTGATTTACCAAACAAAAGGATTGATTATATGCAAAGTATAATATTACAAAGAGCACAGATTATGTCTTTAATATAAATAGATATTTATTTACTTCAATTTATATATTTCCAAGAAGGGATTTGGTTTGCAAAGAATACCTATTCACACTCGTATATCTTAAATATATTTTAGATTATAGTATACTGTAGTATGATACTATATTTTCATTATGGTTTTCAGGGAAACAAAAGTCACTACTCCTCAGAAGAAGGTAGTGGAAGAGGAGAAGGTGGTGGTACAGGAGGAAATTGACGAAGATTCGAAAGCATCTGAAAATGGAGATACGAAGGAAACCAAAGAGAATGGCTCGAGCGAGGAGAAGGAGACTGATGAGAAAGAAGCAGAATCTACAGAGAATGGAGACTCGACAGGTATATAATATGTTATTAAATGTTATAATATGTTATTATTGAAAAATTATCTGGAAACATTATCTGGATTACTTTAAAAGAAAGGAGATGATAAATAGACATTATAGTAATATATGTATTCTCCTGCTTGTGATTTCAGATGCTCCAGCCGACAGTTGCTGCGTAAAGAGGAAATCAACGGCCGCAGCCGATGCAGCCGAGGACGCACAGGACGGCGCGAGTCCCGAAAAGAAGTCGAGACTCGAGGAGAAGTGCGCCGAGGCTGAGAATAACGGCGACGCGGAGGAGGCCACGGCCTAATATTCTCTTATGTTTATTATTGACAGACAGACCTAATCTATAGATGCAATTTTAACTACCGAGTGTGAAGCCAGGGCAGATCATCTGTGCATTTTCAGAGAGAAGATGGCGAGCATAAAAAAAAGAAGAAAAAAAAACAGAAAATGGAACATTTTGACGTTTATTGCATTAAGAACTTTCTGTGTTCAGGATGATTGTGTGTGTCTCCCATAATATTTCTTGCAATTGTTAATTGGCAATAGCGACACGAATATTTCCGATATTTTTTGAGAAAATATCGCAGTTATTACATTTAAATGTAATGTAAAGCATAAACAAATCGTGTTCTCTGTACTGGCATCCACGTTGCATACATATTATATATTCACTTAGCGTTAGACTCCTAAGGTAAGGAAATATACCGATAATGTTTAGAAATAATATATTTCTAATTCATCAAAACAAAATCGACGGTGCGCGGTGTCTGGAAAATGGGTACGTTTGTGCAACATAATATTTCCACCTTGCTAGTCCTCATTGTTTCCGACGCACGGACACACATTGTATCTTATACCTTATAGATGACACATACACACCTTGGACTATACATCGGAGATAGAATACGGATATTTTTCTGCGAATCAAAATACATTCCCGAAAATAGATCGTCTTGTAACGTTATGACTGTTCGCCGACGAAAAAACTTATAAGAGAGCGCCATTTCTACAGTTAACATGCGTGTTTCACAATTGTTTTATTTATGTAAACTGTAATTTTTGCAGAAAGTAATCCGAAAACGTTTATCTAGAGTTTAGATAAATTAATAACGCGCTAAATTCTACTAACACGCTGGTATGTGTTTACGAAGGAATCTTTTTTTCTTTTTTTTCTTTTTTTTTTTTCAAATGACTGAGAAAAAAGAGCAATGTTCAACACTGAACGAATGCATCATATGATTTCGTGTTGAAACTAATTCATGGTTTTTAAAAAATTGAAATGAAACTTTCTTTTGTTTTTATTCTAATTGCACAAGGCACATTATACATGTAATTTACCTCGGTTTTCACATGTACCTATGTATGTATAGAAACGCTGAGTGAAAAATGATTTATTTTGAATTTTGCTAATGATGTATAAAACAAGTATATTAATGACAGTCATTCAATAAGAAAGATATTGCGGTTGACACAGAGCCAAAAGATTATGATTCTTAAAATTTCGTTTGATGTAATTAATCTAAATTGATTACTAATTTGCATGTTATTTCAAAATTATTAAATGATTGTCATATGTAAGTCATCGTTTCTCTTAGTTTCTCTTAGTAATGCGTTAGCTTCAAAAAGAACCCATATCTTATATTTCGGTGACAATGTGACAATAGTTCGTATAATTTTCAATGTCATTGTTTTGCTTCGTATGTAATAAATATAACTGTCAATCAGTAAGGGTAATAACATGTATGTTTAAGATTTAAAATGGTAAAATGTGTTCAACAGCTAATACAAATAAAGATGGTTCTCTATATTTCTTTTTCTTTAATGAACTCGTAGTCTAATTTAACTGGCTTTCTGAGAAAGTCGGAGAACCTATATAACTGTACTATATTTTATAGTTTTTTCTTAATTTCATTACATTGCAATTATATTTTTATAGGAAGGGTTGTAAAACTTGCTAAATATCTACTAATACAAATTGTGCTTTATTTAAATAGCTTATTTCTATAACTCCAAGGAGTAATGTAACAGTGCGATTTATCTTTAATTATCTCTTAAGATTAAATTCTATGATTCTGTTTTTGCTACAGAAGAATATTTTTCCAAAAATTTTAGTGTTGTATACATGGAATAGCAATTACAAAAATCGAATCTGAATCTTTAATTTGATAAACTATTCTAGCTGTTTAAGGCTGATTGTCTCATTAAAATTGAAAAATATTCCCAATATATAAGCAATATTAGCATATAAAATTTTAAGCATGCTGATAAAAAATTGAAGATACAAAATAGAAATTTTTTTTATATAAAATTTTTTTAACTGATTTATTTTTCTCTTTTTATACTTTAAATATATACTTATATTTAATATATTTATTAAATATATAATGAAATTATACTATAAATTTTTATGATAAATAGAAAATATTTTAAACGAAGAATAAAATTTATATTCAATAAGCAAATTGTAGTTACTGTATAGTATATGCTAACTTTGCCAGTAGATTCAAACAAAACATTACGACAGATTGGCATCAACTGCATCCAGACTCATGTTCTGCCAGAAGAGCTTGCAGACATAATCCGACAGTAGACTGCCAACAGAAATTGAGCAAACTGTTATTTCGTAACCATTTAATTAAATGGTTACGAAATGACAGATTCTGCTCGGTTTCTACAGTCAGCCATTATATTTCTATTAACAGATTATTGTTTCTCTACTGATAAAATTTGCAAAATCCGTTTTTGACAGATTTCATTATGAGATAATTGTAATTTTTTATCATTGTGTTAACAGTTGGCAAGAGAGAGATTTATACAAAGATTACACTTTTCAAAATAATTGTGAACGACAAATCCATAATTTTTTTCTATTGCGGCCGAAATGCAAAAAAATACAATTATATAATATTCGTAATTAGCAGTAATATATTTAACATTTTTTCCAAAAAAATATTTGAAATAAAAATCTGTTAAAGCTGCATTACATTAGCTTATAATTATAAACTATAATGTACACTCTATATTTTCATATATTAAATTTTTAAGAGCCAAAATATAATACATAATCCGGTTCTTTACAAATGTTCTAACAGTGCAGAAGCTAAGCAAAAAATTTTGTGAAGAAATATCCTTACAGAATGAAAAATCAGGAAAACTGAGGTTGCATCTATATTACAGGTGAGTGCAATATCTTTCAAAGTTAAGCTAAAAGTATCTAAATTAAACATGATCTATGATTAAAGCAAAGAGAAAGAATCTGAGAATGGAAATGCCCGCGAAATCTGTATCTATTGTATTGGCGTCTTTATGGACACAAAGCGTGCACGTGGAACCATGTAACTATGTAACCACGAGTATTCCCGGCGAATAACACAGTTTTTGACTTCATTCTGTGTTACGTACCGTATTTTACACATAGGCTATATTGCGCAAAAATGCTTTATAAAAATAATAATTTAAACAAAAAAGAAGAAAGTTTAATTTGATAAAAATGGAACAAACCTGTAATGCTTCACATTTTAAACATTCGAAACCTGTATAATTTCAGTGAACAATTCGTGATTTTCGACAAATCCATTCAATCAATTAATTAAATATTCATAACAATATTGTGACAGCGGCTATTTCATTTAAATGGACAATTATTGAATTGGCAAGTTCACTCTCAATTCATTAATTTATTTTTCATAATGATACCTCGATAACGATAATTTAACGAAAGTAATTTTACACGCGACTCTATTTTATTAAAAGAAAACTTTTCGAAAGAAGGTAGATGGAAATTATAAACTATTTATAATTAAAAAATTTCCGTGTGATTTTTAATTCTCGAATATTGTAATTAGAATGAATTTTATGTCAGACTTGAATTTTTCTGACTACAACTTCGACGATCAATTTAAAATTCTAAGCATGGAGTAACATATATGGTCGAATCCTAGAATGCAGGGGCAGAATGCACGCGTAATTTTTAAATCGTATCTGTAAACAAGTTACATTTGCATTAATGAGAATTAATTTCAAAGCGTAACGTCAGATGTAATTAAAGCATTATAATTAAGATTGAATGATTAAGATTAAAAATAATCTCTCAATTAACACAAAAAAGTTATACTAACAAAGAAATATTTACTTGGAGTATATCTTTTATCATAAAGCCATTAAACATAATTCTATAATATTTGTTCCGAAATATTTACAGTACATTTTACTTCTGAATTAATCACTTATTAATATAGATAGGTGTACATATGTATTACGAAATAAGTTTACAAACCAATAGAAAAAAAGCGTAAATCTATAAAAATAAATTATATTAAACAAATTAGTTACTGTGTCAATTTTGATCAACTATAACAAAACTCGAGTATACAAATAATGCGCACATTTGTTCTTTAATTTTTTATTTCTTATCGGAAATTATTTCAAAGCATTGTGAAACAGAATCGAAATGAACGTAGCGTGTTACCCGCTGGAAATTCACAGATATATGGCTACGAAGTTCAATATGCACGTTTTGGCGTTAGTGAATGGGTTTCACTTCAAACGTGAGCATGTTCCACTCTCAGGCTTTTATCTAGTTAAAGCATGTTTAGTATTTGGTGAATCGGGAATGTTAGAAATTCATAACATCTCGTGGATAGAATATCAGTTCTTTAAAGCTTTTTTTCGAAGAGACATGGAGTTATGTCATAACAATTAAAATATTATGTGAAAAGTGATATATATATAAAAACTCTCGCTTATAAGATGGCTACCTGGATCAACATATCCCCAAAGTATATGCTTTAAAATATTATAAACGTTATTATACTTTTACAACTAATTGCAACATGAAAATAATGCTAGTAAAACAAACTGCAAATTTCGAAAGTTATATTTTCATTATTTTTTATAAGTGTAATATTACTTCCTAATAACTTCTTAATATTCTTGATATATTAATCATAAATCAAATATTATCAAAGCAACGTGGAATTTTTATCTGTGCTTTTGTTTCAACAGATTGGAGCAAGGTTTGAAGATAGTGGCTCGATTGGATAACAGCAAATTCCGACTTCTTGTCAACCGCATATGCCAGACCCTGCAGTCGAACATTGGCACGAAGGTGTTCAATGAAGAGGAAGAGGAAAAGCTGCTAGTTTCCTTAGATCTGACAAAAGATGAATTAACTCTTCTGCTGGATGCTATTGCATCTATCTACACGCAGGCTGCATGTAGCGTTGTCAAACCGTCTGTCATGGAAGCAGTCATAAAAGACAATTTCAAATTAGATGAAGAGAAAATATCGATCTTTACAAGTGCCTGGATGACTTATGGAAAAGGCATTGTAGAAAATCTTAGGCAACAGTCTATTTTCCCTACTCAGGTATTTTAATATAGATATAAAATATAAATGAAAAAAAGAAGTTTAACGAATTATAAAATTATGATGGTATTATATGAATACATATTGATTCTTTCCAACGAGAAAGAAGATTTTTCTTAGTATTTATTGTTTGTCGCGATAAATATCACTACCTTGACACTTAAATTCATAATAATTTATCCGTCTTGAAAAGTAGAGATCCAAATTTGATTGAAAGGATTTTTGCCTATAAATAAATTCCTTACAGTTTCACAAAATGTTCATTTAATATTAAATGTACATTAACTTAATTTGAAATTTTATTATTTCTGTCTTTGATATTTCAAGACCAATAGTAACAGGCGCATGGATCAAAAGCATATGTATAAAATTCACAAAAAATTAATGTTAGACATAAGATATCGTTTGATAAACAAAAATGTCACAATTTTTTTATTCTGCGTTATGTAAGTCGCTATTTATTTATTAAACTATATTTCTCTTTTATTTTGCAAGGTAAAAGATATCAACTGGTGCTTAAATGTGCAATCATCGTCCTCTGCAATTTCCAAAGATGCACGACCTGTAGCATTGCTCCAACTAGGTCTGACTGGTGATAAGACATCTACGTTAACAATGGAGTTTGACAAGAAGCAATTGACAGAGCTTTATTATAATTTAGAAAAAATTCAAACTCAGCTAGATGCTCTTAAGTAATAGAATTTATAAAAATGTTTATACAATATATTGATTACCTACTATAAATAACTAAACAAATATAATTTATTATGTAAAAATATATTTTTCATATTTTTTACATGTTTATTAGAATACCACAATCGTGTAGTTATTTCCTAACACTTTATATTTTTAAATAAATTACAGAAATGATTTTTAATTAATTTATTTGTATGTGCATGAATACATTGTTTTTTTTAAATAAATTTAATATTGATTTTTGTCGCGCAATGAAGATAAATATTTGGTAAATTTTATATGATAAAGCGTCAAAATATAATTTCTAGATACATATGTATTTTTCTCGTCCAATGGTTACAGAAATAATCACACTTTAATAAAGTGAGTTCAAAATAATTATTACTTTCCCATTTTAATTTAGCTTTAATTTCATAAGTCACATTTTATCAGGTAATTTTATAATTTAATACAATAACATTTTATTTCATTTTAATATTCTATAAACTTTTAATTTTTCTTTTCATTTTCATTGTTAGTTTTTAAAATTAAGGGACGTTACATTTGATTTTAATAAAGTTGATATATTCCGAATTCAGTTATACCATTATATATAAATTAATTTCATAGTAATATTTACTTATAAAAAATACATCATTGCCAATCTATACACGATCACAATTTCATGGCATTTTTTTTATATGCTACCAATACTATATTGCTTGTGATGAATAAACTGCCGTGTTCGCCGGCAACACATACGCGAAGAAACAAAGAGAATGTCTGTGCGCTTTGCGTTCTGTCGCAACTCTGCCATTCGCTGGCATCAATTTTTTTCTAGGAAGAGGTCGGCTATGTCTGTAGTTATCATTGCGTCTTTTTTGTTTAGAGTAACATCAAACTGGCTGGAAAATTAATAAAACCGTTATTCTTTTAACATTTACATTATTGGTAAATTTGTATAATATTCTCTCAATATACGAATTGTCAAAATATACCATTATAACTATTCGCGATATTTTTTACAACAGGCATTGACACAAATTCAAAAAGGATATGTTAAACTTTTGCTTTCATCTTTTGAAGAAAAAGTATAAAAACAATTAATATGTATAATTAGTAAATATTAATTGATAAACTTACGCGCTATTAACTAATTTAATATAGACACATAATAATAATCATTCACGATACGAAATAATTAATATATATATAAGATATGTATTGAGATAATCACTTAGCATCACGAGAAAAGGATAACAATTAGAAGCGAATATTATATTAATATAATTTTTTAGAAAAATATATACATTTGTTTTTATGTAATTATTCACCTCTTTTATGCTAGCAATAAAGTTAAAACTGTAGGAATGCATAATCCTTACTAATTATATGTATTGTAAAATTAAATATATTTACAAATTTTTATTACGGTTGCTAAAATAGTTCGATAAATATGAATATAAAATGTCGATTTATTATAATTTTCATTATATTCGTAACTTTTACAAAACATAAAAATTCCTTTTGCTTCTCTAATCTAAATCTTGATAATTATGCATTATAATCCAACATTCCCATATAATTTGGACGGCACTCCATGATTCTTCTCAATACGCGGACTTCTATTAGGCAAGACGCTCTCGAGGCTCGAGGTGTGGCCGTTGTCCTCAATGAATTGAAAATTGATCTTCCCCTGATTCTCGGTGTGCTTCTCGTCGCACGATCTCTCGGTCTGCTTTCTTTCGCCGGGCGGTAAGGTTTCCAAGACCTCAGGTGTTTTACGGATAAAGATTCGCGCCTTGCACACCACCAGCACGACGACTATTATCATCAGGAACAAGATCACGGCTGTTAGGGTCCCCACGATCCATCCTAGTTTCTCATCTATACGCGCGATATAAAACGTGCAAAAAAATTATCTCTCGTGTTGCGAGAAAGATGTTGCGAGATGTATTAAAAATGGCAATCGGTGTAAAATGATTTAAAAAGAGATATAGAAAGGCGAGGAATGAATAGATTTCTAACGAAATGCTAGCAAAGACCTGCTAAAGTGTTCAGCAGAACAAGCGTCGCGCTTCCAATCTCGATATCGTCGGTGTTATCATTGTTGACAGTAAATTTGCAGGTCCACTGTCCTAGATCGGTGTGATCCGGTTTGAAGATCAGCTTGCATATACCCGTGGTATAATCCATTTGCACGCTGTGCCTGCACATTACGGCATAAGAGAATATTTTTTGAATGTGTTACGTGGATACATAGTAAAAAGCATAATATATATGGCGAAAGGTGTTACCTCATTTTTTTTGCCAGCTGCCTGCTGGAGTTCTGATGTACGTGAACTTTTGGAGCGTGGATCCAATGGCACCTGGCTTTCGACGACACGGATCCGACTCTGCACGCAAGAGTGACCATTTTGTGAGGCGCGGCCCAAACCGCGATAGTGACAGGCTCTAAAAACGATATTTCCTGAATTGATCTACCTTTTAATCCGTACTTCTTTTTAAGTCCCACAATGATACCAAAATTCACAGTTTATCAAAAATATATTTAGTCCAAAAAATTATATATATATTGTTAAATATAAAACATTATCTTGTGCTTATCAACTTTCATAATAAGCTCTCGAATATCTTTAAATTTCAAAAGTATTTAATAAAAAACATGTACAATTGCATAAAGTATTTACAATTTGCACTTTTACGCTGAACAAATTTTTTTTTCAAGATTTCCAAGTTGATTAAAACGTCATTGTTTAAAATATTGATTTGTCTAATTTGATTATTTCTTTATTCTTGTGAGCTGCAAACTTTCAATATGGATTCTTTTTGAGGCCACTAGGAAAGAATTTTTTTTCAATTTTTCGTCCCACTCACCAAAAGCCGCTAAATCTCCGGTGCAGATTATCCAACGAGTGAATCGCTTTGATCACCAATCACCATTCATTTGTGCATCGATGGCTTGATATATGTTTGTATCGTTAGATTGTGCAGCGCTGATTTCGCGTGCATTGATGAAATTAGAAAAATTCCAGAAGAAATATTTCAAGCGCTATACTTATATTGTCAAACATCCTTAGATAAATATTTGTTATTATAATACACGCAAGTGTATTTAAATTATGAAATAAAAATTAGTAATACTTAAAAAGAGCTAATTTTACATTAAAATGTTAAGTTACTATAAAAACGTTAGTTTATATTATAATTATATATTATCTAATATTTTTAGTGTCGCGTTGCTACCGCATTGATATATACAACTATTTTACTAAAACTAAAAATGTAGCAATTACATAACTTCGTCGTAAACTTCGTACTCCTCTCTAAATTAGCGCCTGCAATATTTTTCCGTGGATATCTTTGATTAATTATCACTGTTTGTGTTGTGCATCAGTTTGAAATTGTTGCAGTTCGCCTCGGGAACTCGGGAAGAGGTTCCTCCGCGGGTTCAGCTGTAACGTAGTTAGTAACCGGGACGATGGAAATGAGAAGATCGCAGTGCGATGTTTTCGCATTACTGTTTATTTAGACGAAAAAAGAAAAAACAGTGTACAGCAACTCAGGGACTCGAAACGCGCACGAGAACGCGCGAATATGTCGCGGTGCTTAAACGATACTTAATGGCACATGAAGATTCATACGCTCTGCGAGTGAAGCGCTGCTCAAATTCGATCACGTGCTCTAATTTCGTTATTGTAATTATTTATAAAAAGCACAGCGCTAACGTGTAAAATTGTAAAATATGTAACATCTTCACATTCGCTATTGAACTGATTAATGATTAAATTGCCTTGATCTAATTATGTTAAGTTCAAATTGAAATTTTGTTCGAAACTTCGCAAAGTAAAGTATTTACGCTTCAAGAAGAAATTTAACTAGCTAAGGCACTGACGACCTAAAACACGCATCGTGACAACACGATGATAACGCCGTTGCACTATCGGTACCAATTACGAGCTGAGCGAACGTTACTCGTTGCGGACATGAATTTTCTGAACGCTAAAAACCTTAACGCTAAAAATTGCCTACTTAGTATTAAATGCACTAATGGCTAGTCATAAGTCATAATCATGGATCATACATATAACGGATATATCAAAATCGGCCACGAGTAAAGCAGTAAACACGATGAAAAATAGAAGCGCGATGTTAATTTAAGGATGATGACTTTTTATATAATAAATAATGTGAAATGTGGAACGGGAGACGCAGTCAGAGTGACAAAGATGCTCGTGTAGATTTATCTCGTCGTTGTTTAATACTTGGACAATCTTTTATTAATTTGTAATTTATTTATCGATCTTACTATTTTTATATATACAAAATATATGTGCATTAAAAAAGAGCACACTGAATCATTTTATTATTGGAAAGTAAAATAAGAAAATGATATAAACAATTATTATTATATTGCAAATTTATTGCAATACTGAAATTAGAACAAGAAATTATCTAATTAAAAGTTAGGCGGAAAATTAATTGTTTGAACCTTTAAACATTTTACAGCATACAAATTCGTAGACGACATGACATAAAGCGTCATATACAATTTTTCTTGTAATGTTTTCTTATATAAATGATATTCTCATTTGTGTTAAAACAATCGATTCCGCACTTTTTTCAGCAGGAATGTTTATTAACTAAATGCAAAATCACATTTCAATTAAATGTAAAATCTCATTGGAGCGCAGTCTCGCCATTGAGAATATAAATAGAAAAACATAAATGGCATTGCTGATAATTATTATAATATTATAAGGTATTGAAGAAAATAATTTGCGTATAATTGAGAACAAATATGAAAAAACCGAAACTCGCTAAATTTTTCATTTTTAACTTATCTTTTAATGATTCTTTTAAAATTGCAAAATAGCTATATTTCAACATTTTTTTATTATATTATATTAAATATTGTAATAATATATAATTTATTTAATCTTGTTTCAATATATCTTTACTATGAAATTTCTTCTTTTACTGTATCATTATTATTTCCTATTACGAATTGAAAAAAAATGCGTTACGACATGAAAGGAAATTTTAATTTTATCTGATATTAAAATCTGTATGCGGCTAATTTTTTCAGTTGAAATATTTCTTAACACATAGCCGTATAATTATACATAAGCAAGACTAATTTGACGATATACACTGCGTAAATAATGGATGAATGGCGTGAATGAATTACCGTGGAAAAAAATCGCAATTAATTACGGCTCGTGTGTGTGAAGCCTCCTTAATCACTGGGGATAACAAGAAAAGCCGACAGGATTGTTAATTTGTGGTTTACCAGGCGGCGCACAACGAACCGATAAGTCTCATGGTTTATCGGAGAATCGCGTGTGATAAACGGTAATGGGCGCTACCGTCTTTTTTTTTTGATAATGCAAAATGATCTAACACTAGTAAATGCAAATGTGCACGACAATGTGATTAAATTAAAAATGGATACCGCGTGTCGCGATAAAGCAAAGACTGATGACATGATCAAATGGTAATTTCGCGATTTTTATGTACATGACATAAAAATAAAATGGTATTTGGATTGTCTCTATAAACGTAGTCGAAAAATGCGTTTTACTTTTCACGTTCTGCTCAATAGACACTAGCGCGATTTAGTCCTACTTTAGGACTACACATATCTTTTGATCTTTATACATGGACATATTAGTCGGATAACTTCGATAAAAGTCGAATAAAAATAGATACCGCGTAGTTTTCAACAAATTCCTTTTCTCAGAAGGACTCCAAATGCCGCAAAGAAAATAAAAAAGATAACAACTAGTGGTGTTACGTTTTCGGAAGTTTATCCATAACTGATTTCCTAGGTGCACTTACTAACTATGTTTGGTTTATTTTTTTTCTAGTACTATCTCATAAAATTAAAGTATAACTTTTATCATCAAATTGTAAAAAAAAATACACGAAGAATAAGTTCGCAAAAATTATCGAGAGAAATTACCGAGAATGTCGACAATTTTTCGTCGCGTCTTACAGATTTATGTGTGTAGTCCTAGGGTCAAGAAAGTACAATCAAAGAATTTAAATATAAAATTCTTTTCTTAAATAGGCAATACTTGATAATTAATAATTTATTATACCTGTCGAAACTAATAGTTCTAAACTTTATCACGCTGTTTATTCCACTTAATGAATTATAATACTGCCTGAGACAGAACGCGAAAATTGCTATCTTACAAGGAAATACAACCAATTGACCCCCTCCGATTTTAATGAGCTTTGGATATGTTGAAATATAAACAAAAATTCACACATTAAAGAAGTGATATTCACCTATGGAAAAAATCGGTTTTCTTTTTCTCAGTAAATATCGTCTAAACCGTCAATGATATGAAGAAATATTTTAAACAAAAGTTTTACGATTTAGATGACATTTACTTAAAAAGAAAAAAACTGATTTTTTTCAAGGGTGGATATCACCCTCTTAATGTGCGACTCCGCATTAAAAAAAAATGTAAACCTTGTTTTCGTCTATATTTTAACATCCAGCTCGGTAAAATCGGGGTCAGTTAGTTATGTTCCCCTGTTAGACGTCCTAAAGGATTTGGCTATCCTTCCAACGATCGCCGCGCGTCGAAGCAGGTGACAGAGCTTATAATCGACGAAACGGCCGTGTAAGATCGTTCTCTCGTACGGTCATCTCTTATGGATATAATAGAATCGGTCGCGATTATTTCTCTAGCACACACACGTGGGCCGATGGGCATCGGCGAACGGCCCGGCAATACTCTCACAGACACTCGCCCTTCCACATTTAATCTAGTGAAATGAAGCTTCATCGGACATGCAGATCCGTCACCTTCCACCCGCAATAGTCCTTCGGGGGACATTCGAGGATCCACGTTCAATCGGTTTTGCCTTCTCGCAACGCCGTTATCGAGCGTGGATCCTCGCCACACTTGGAGGACACACACAGATGTGGGACGATGAGTTATGCACAGTTTATCTTTCAGTTGAACGACTGGGTAGCCGTAACGAGGACTGAGTTATCTCGCGCGCGCGTACCAACTTCGCAAATATTGAAATTGACCTTCCTTACTCGGACGAGAAATATCGAACTGCTTGAAAAGTAAACGAATCGAAAGCAGCTTATTCGGTCAAATAAGTCCCCTGCAGCGAAATTTCGCACAGTCACCGTTATCAGTATCGAATGTGAAAATTATAATGATTCTGGAAAATCGCGCGCGATCAATTTCTGGGGGTAGTATGCTAAAGTTCTTTGACAACTTACTATAATTTTATTTAACATAATGCTTCCCGACTATTAGCTCGCTACGACATGAGGCCGTTCAAATGATGCTCGTGCCGAAGAAGCTTCGTCTACCGTAGATTGCAAAGACGTGCGCCAGAATCCATGGCCTACACTTATGTACACGCATATACGCCGCGGCGCGTGCAAAGTTCATACAGCTCGCCTCGATGCACTCGCAATCGCGGTTGGTTGCGACAGTCGTCGCGACGAGGCCACGGATCCTGAAACGTATATAATACATGTGTCCTACGATTTTAATCGATCGAATGCACAGACGCGACTCTAGCCAGGCTTTGAACGGAAGTCTTGGGTGTGTTTCATGAAACTCGACAGAACGACGAGTGACGATTAAAGATTTGACATAAAAAAAGGCAAGAATAATAATAATTTGAAAATTGAGGATAGGAAACAGAAAATTTTCGCGTCGTTCTAATATCAATGTAATGTCTGTTACATTGATATAAATTATTACGTTATCGTTCCCGATATGGATACAGTTCCCGTTATATGTACGTGACATAGTTGCCTGTCAATTTGAGTTTCATGAAACAGACGTCTGACCGGTGTAACCGAAGGAACAAAGTTCTTTTACACGCGAGAAGTCCTTTTACGCGTGACGGCTCGCATATGCATGGTCCTTACGTGCGCTTCTCGCACGCGAGATCCTTCTCACGCGAGGCACTCCGAGAAAATTTATTATAGTCTAATGCGACGTCTTGAGCCTTGAACACAATACATATTCAATGATTATGTATTTGTGTAGCGTGTCATCGATTCAGTCCGTTTCTGTCATTCTGATTAAATGTCCATGATCGAAATGAAAGTAATCGCAAGAATCGAAATCTCATTTTTTTTGGTTGATGATGGATCAAGGTCTCCACACATGGATGTGTGGGATGCGACTACATGTTTTACAATTATCGACTGTAAATTAAAAAGGAGAATCTAAATGCTAAAGAATGCGTGGAATGCGAGAACATTTATTACGATAATCGAATACTGTAAATTAAAAAGGAAGATCTAAATAATAAGGATGGAACAAAGTGATAAGCTTCGTACGTTTCGAGATTCAACTAAACGGGTCGACGGTCTAAAACAAAAATAAATACGAACGCTGGCTTATAATAAAACAGTACTCTTAAGTTTTCTGTGCCCTCCAGGATACCCTCCACTTAGATCGTCTTCCAATTTACAGTACTCAACAGCGATTTACGGCGCATAATTTAGCCTAGGCCGAGATCGCCGGAATCGCGCGACGATCGATTAATGGTGCTTCCACCCTTCACCGTGGCGGTGGAGAAGCGATCACTAAACCGACCGTCTTAGGTCTCGATGATACCTGGCTCGAGGAGACTCAGCTTCGCGGGCGGCGCGTCCGTGTAGTTCTGCTGGCCGTGTATCCTGGCGCCGCAGGTCCACAGGCCCTCCTGCTCGGCGAGAGCGTGGCTCAGGCGGACGCTGCAGTCGCGGGCCTCGTATCCGGCCGCCGGGAACTGCTTCACCACCACGGTGGTGTTGGAATTGACCGGGGTGAGCGACCACCGGCACTGCTCCACTGCCGAGGACGTTACGCAGCGCAGCAGAACACTGCCGCCGGAGGAGATCTGGATGTCCTGCGACAGCTCCGAGAACTTCACATCGTCTGAAAAAGAGATATTAGCGCGAGACATGAGAATCAGAATCATATTAAATGTTAAATATACATAAAATTAAAAATCAAAAGAAAAATTTAAAATTAAAAAAAAATTAATTAAAATTAAAAATTACAAGAAGAGAGAGAAGTGGAGATCACGAAGCGTCTTTTACCTTGCTCGTAAACCACGAGTTTCGCAGGCGACGTCGTCAGAACGGTATTGAGAGACACGATGGAAACCTGGCAACTGCAGTAACCCTGCTTCTCCGCGTACACGTGCGGAAGGTGGAGCGAGCAGTCGCGACCGAGATCGCCGTTGCTCGGGAATTCATCGAGAACGACCTCCGGTTCGCTGCCGTGCAATGGCTTCCAAGTCCACACGCATTTTTCCACGCGACTGCTGGTGATGCACTTCAACGTGGCATCTGTTCCTACCGGCACCGCCGTATCGGTTGGCTCCTCGACGAAGCTGACCTTAGCTGGAATCGGATAAGAACAATTCGCGATTAGACGTCAAAAGACGCGGAAAAAAAGCACGTTTCTATTTTGAGTGAATATCGTGGGTGGATTCTTTTTTTTGCTGAAAGCAAGTCCTTGTCCACACTTTTCAGAAACTTCTAACAATACTGTGTTGTCAAGAAATTTTAAAGAAATAGATGATATTGAAAATTTTGAATAAAACTCGGAGTTTTAACCATAACTTCAGAGTTTTGACCAAAATTTTTAATTTTGATACTTAATATAATTAATTTTTATTTTCGATCAAGAACGCGGTCTTCCGAGAAGAAGACTAAATGAAATCGAATTTAATTAGCCGTTATTGCATTATTGCTCTATACAAATGCAATTTGCAATTGCGTTACGATTCTCGTCTAGTATAAAGTGCTACATAAATTAGGCACGAAATGTGAGAGAAAGGTGAAATGTACGGAGGGAAAGTGCAGTCGAATTATATATACGAAATCGAATTATGCTGAATTCCGGCATCGATGACTTTAAAGCGTACTGAATTCTCAATCGCTTCTTGCTTCCATTGACTGTAGTTATTCTTAAGATTCTGAGCATGAGATTTCGATGTTAATTTTACGATTAAGCAGAAAGGCAAAAGTACAAGCGTTTAAAACAGTCAACGATATTATATAATGACACTCCGAATTTCTAACACCGTTTTAGCGCTTTTCCTACGTGCGAGCAATCAATTTTCACATCATCTCACGCCGAGACATCAATCCATTCGTAATTGCGCGAAACGTTACTACCGTAATTACACGAGTACTTCTTTCGCACGGCGGCGCTCGTAATTGCATGGCGATCGGATCGGACGCTCGATAACGACCGCGCGATTGTAGGGCTCGGGCATATTTATTTCTTAATTAACGTAGCCGTCGCGTACCTGTGGGCAGGAGGCTGACAGTCGCCGCGGGCGCCGTGTGCAGGATACCGTCGGGCGTCAAACGTACCCCGCAGGTCCACAGGCCCTCCTCCTCGTACAGGATGTTCTTGAATCGTACGGAACAGTCGTGTTCGGCGTCCTTGTTTGGACTGAACTTCTTCACCAGCAGCGGTTCCTTGCTCGAGTTCGACGCCCTCCACGACCACTCGCACTGCACCACCGGCTTGTTCGCCAGGCACCGCAGGAAGACCGATTCGCCGGCCGCAACCTGCACGCCGCGCGACAACTGCACGAACTCGACTATAAAAGGGAAACGAAAGCTCTTCGATGGTTTTTCAATCGCGAAACGAGTCGCGTGGCGTAAGATCGGTCAGAGCCACTGTGACGCAAAGCAAATGTGACACTGTTTGAGAGTTTTATTTTTCAATATTCAATTAATAATTGCGAAATTATCAAAATGATTTTAAATATGCATTATGTAAGAGACATATTACTCGTATCATTTAAAAACGTATTTGAAAATGTTTAAGTTACATCGTTATTTAAACTTGTTAAAATATAAAACATTCAGTTTTAAGCCATGAATTTCACGATTTAATTTTTTGCTATTTAAAATAAGCCTTACATTTATATTATTAAACGCGAACTACAATATTAATTTCAGAAAATTATGAAAAAGTATAATTATATATTCCTATATATTTTCTCTGACTGCATTCTCACTTATTTATTATGCAATTCTTCGCACGCTATCAATCAATTCGTGTCAATATAAAAGTGTACAAGAGATAGTACACGTGTAAATGTCAGCAGTAACTAATTGGATACCTTCTGATATCAGAAAACGGACGGGGGTCGCCTGAGTGAACGAGGAATTCGGGTCTATACGCGCGCCGCAGGTCCAGTAGCCTTCCTGCTCCGGTAGGACGTTCTTGAACTTGATGCTGCATTCCGTGCTGTCATTTCCAAAGGCTGGAAACGATTTCACGTCGAGGTTCCAGGGCTGCGACTGGTTCAGCTGCCGCCAGGACCACTGGCATTCGCGCACCGACGACTTCGTCTGGCACATTATCTGCGCCGAGGAACCCGCCGGCACCTCAACGACATTCTCGTGCTTCGCGAACGTGATGAGGATGCCTGAAACGAATGCGAATGCACCAATTGCACCACCGTCGACTTACTCTTACGTAATCGCGCGCGTTCTTGAAAACGAGAGAAGTTCGAAAGTCGATTAGAAAGATCAACTCGCAAAATTAATTAGAAATAAAACTCCAACAATTAATTCTCTCTTAATCGTACTCTCTCTCTCTCTCTCTCTCTCTCTCTCTCTTCATTTTGTTCAACATAAAGCTTTGCACGCCGGCACTTTCATTTTCAGATTCTTTAATTAATTCTTTAATTAATTCAAAATGACTTGTTTTGAAAGGAAATGTATAATGTTTACATGTTTCGTATTACACATGATTCATTCGCGATAGTTATCAAAGTGCACCAAATTCATATGAATAAAGTATTTCCATGATTCACTTGTCTTTCACTTTTTGAATGACTCATTCGGGCGATCGTTATCAAAACTGAAAATAAGAATATGAATAAAAAAATTAAACATTACTGATAACTTAGTAGATAAGACAGATAATTAAAAATGGTAAATTTCAATTAAATACAGCGTAACGAATAACGATGACATTACGATGATTTTATGTCACAAAGTTCTTAACGAAAAATATTACGACCGTCGGTACAATTGATGGAAGACAAGAGCGATATCAAGCGTGTTTTGTCACCAAGAATTCGAGGTCGTCCGAAAGCAACTGCATAAATACATCGTGCTATTATTCACTATGCTCACGCGATTAAAATTGTAATCGAAGAACGGGATTACGATTCGAGCAACTTTTCCCCGCGGAATACCAGAAAACATAGAACGATTAAAAAAAGTGATGATCTCACTAAATTTCAAAACAATTTGTCCGCGATTATTTAATTCGAAAGCTAATTAATTTATCAGTTTAACAATATAATGTAAATAAAAAAAGAAAGGAAAATAATAATTATTATTATTAGTATAGTACTAAAAAAGCATGTTGAATTATATTTTTAATAGAAAAAAATTCTTATTAAAAATAAATATAAATTTCTCTTATTACAAACACGATATTCCACGAAAAAGAGAGAAACGAGTTTAAACTAAATTTAATTGAGTGCGAGGTATCAAGATATTATCTAAAAATATAAAATAAATTTTGAAATTGAGATATGTATGATTGACAGGATTGAGCGTCTTACCGTGATTAGCGTTGACGATGCTGAGCTTGGCAGGCTCGGTGCTGGTGAAAGGATCGCTCGTCGAGGCTCGCGCCGCGCAGGTCCAGTATCCTGTCTGCTCGTGCTTGGTGCTGGAGAATCTCACGGAGCAATCGTTGCTGTTGTTCCCGAACGCGGGAAACTGTCGTACGGGCAATGGGTGGGTCGTGGGAGTTGCCGTGGTCGCGATCGTCGGGATCGCTGAAATCACCGAGAGGTTCCGAGCGAGCGGCACCGATGAATATTCAACGCGCGATTACAGAATTATGAGCAATGCCCGCGATGCCAATGTAAAAAAAGATAAGATTGAACGTCTAATATAAGTACAGTTATCGCGCGGACTAGAAAAAAGCAATGGGAGAATACGTGCGAAAATTTTAAAAGTGACTTGATTCCTGGAAAAGATGAATGTGTCGAATTTATGATTGCATTTAACAAATCTTACATTTTAAGGGAGAGATATTTTTCTAATGACTTTAATGAGTTTCCGCGAGACGTCAGCCTTTCTAAAGTTAAGTGATTTACACGAATTTGTAACATCGTCATTTACGATTCTCGCGCGAATTAGATTCGCCGCCGGAGAAACAACGCTATAGGAATATCGCGCGCTTACTCGTAGAAACCGACGGGCTTTCACTGACGTCCGGAAGCGGCAGGTGAACCGGTGGCAATGGCTGCCAGGACCACTGGCACTCGGCCACAGGATTAGCAGTCCGGCATGCCAACAGCACGGACGACTCCAGTTCCGTTTCCGTGTGCTCCGGGATGTCGGCGAACACCACGACGATCGGCGACGGCTTCGTTCCCGGCATTATGTCGTCCATGGAGTGGCCCTCCGCTTCAGGAACGACGGTCGACTCCGAGACATTTCCGATATCTCCTATCGTAGTCGTGTCAACGGATATGGGAACAGCTAAATATTAAACGAGAAAAAAGTAGTAAATTTGAATGAAAAAATTAAAAATGTAATTTAAATTTTATTTGTTTTGTTTGGAGTGTTTTTTGTTTCTGCGATAAAAGAAACAGATTGACGTATATCTGAGTTTTCGCCTGAAGTCACTATATATAATATCTACAAGAGAGAAGGGAAATTGAAAAAAAAAATTCAGTTTGATATTAAAAAAAAACTTTTTGATGCCTTTCCCAGATAACGTAACATAGGCGTTTCTACTCTCGTGAAAGTGACGCGAATAAAACGATCATTGACATTAAATGTGTTAATGGAGCAAAGGTGGTCCCTGCGGGTCAAGCCTGCGTGAAAAATTGAAAGCGCGCACGGGCAAACCGACGACGCGGCGCGGAGCGACGTCGCGAGGACGCGAAGACGCGTCCAGCGCGAAGAAGAACGGATATGTGGGACACGCCGGGCAGGAAGCTACCGACAGTCACGTAGACAATCGCCTTGCGTCGCGCGTCTGTCACCATGCGCAGATAGAATCAGGGTCGGATCGATAGATCAAATTCACGGGGAATCGTTCGTGTCGCCGAAAGCAACCGGCTTTATTTCCGTATTTGCGTGACTATTTGCGGAACTGATGAAACTTTATGTTGTGCAAGAATCGCTGACGCAGGCGTCGTGTCTATTGCGCAGCCAGGCAGCTGCTCGTAGACATGTATTTACGTGTAATATCACGTGAATTAAATTGATTGCAATTGTGACAACAGAGAGAGGTTTGGCGCGGCCAAGCTCTGAAATACGTTAAGCAGATCGAATTTAATTAGAATAGTATAAATATTAATATGAGATACAAATAATATAATTTCGCAACCTCTTATGAATTTATAATGAAATAATTAAATTTTTAACATCTTAAATTCTGATAAAATACAATAATTAATACTTTTGTTACTCACTTAATCGTATTTCCTTTAATCAATATTTTCTGAATCTTTGTAAAAAAAAAGGAAGAAAAATGGTGATCTCTCTCCAAATTAATATAAACTGTTAAAATCTTTTAGAGGTTTCTTAAAACTAACGAGCTGTTAATAACGATTCCTCGGAACGTTCACCGGCACGTTCAGCGTAAGAAGAGCGCCCCTGCGACCGATTGCACGCTTTCTACATGACGAGTATGTAGTGCGTGCACAATTACAATGGCCGAAGTTGGTCCTTGGTATTGTCGCGCCTGTAACGTTCGCCAGCTACACGTTAAAGCGTCCGACGCTGTCCTCAAGACGAACGGAGCTGGTCGCTGACACTGGAAGGTCGTTTCCTTTACATTGACACACTGATCGCACGGTTTTATAGCGCTACGTGCCGATCGATCTGATTAGACCTGATCGAGTGTCGGAATCCCCGCGCGAATTCCTCTGTCGCAACCGGCCGTTGCACCAATTTCGTAACAAGCTATAAACTCCGTGCAATGTTACGTCTTGGAGTCGGCGAGCACAATGAAAATTCGCAAGTGGAGATCAAGATAAAATTATCATTTTGAAGGATATTATTCTAAAGGATTATTATACCAACAGTTTTTAATAATAGAAACATGATGTGTTTGTGATACAAGAAAATTATAATAACAAAATCCTATGGATTTAACTTCCGCTTAAAGCTTAGTCCTCGCATCCTCAGTTTCATATTATTACGCTCGTCCACGATCATTCCTCAAACCAATCCTCCCAAATTGATTCCTAATTTTACTTGGGACGTGCTTTCCACCTCGCCTCGACATTCTTCGCTGGCATCTATCTAACTTTCACACTCGCTTTATAGAACACGATTTAGCCACTGCGGAGAGCCGACCAGGAATTTTCGGGCCGAGGAAGCGTGTGGATCCCACTGAGTTATTGCTAACTTTCTTACGCTTTCTTTGACAAGTATGCGCGTCTCAGCATCGGAGGATTGACTTGAATGTCATATTGTACGGAAGATTGATTTGATTTCTTTCTTAAAAGATCAGACCGATATTTCCTTTTTGGGAGTTTGCTCTTTAGGAGAACTAAATCGGAGAAAAACATGCGTGACTAATAATGCGATGATGGAATATTATTTCGAGACCATTATAAACTATAAACAATAAATAAGAAGTGCCAGGCAAGATCGATTAATCAAACAAAAAAAAAAGGATCCAAGAATATCATAAATCTTATTCTATTAAAAAAATACAAGTGACTCATCGACCTATTTAATAACCTGCAAATAAAGAATATAAATTTTCAAGACCGACGAATTGCGGCGCGCAGTCTACATGGAGTTGGATATTGTAAAAACAAATTATTACACACCGTTATCCGTGTTGGCTCGCGTACGGCCTAATATATGTTTGAAATATAAATTTTTTAAATAGAAATTTTGAGATCGATTCGATTTTGTCTCTTTTAATCAGTACGTTTTATTTTTTTTTTAACACGCAATGTATATATGTAATCATGAATGAATATATGTAATCTTAATGAATGAAACAAAGAAAATAAACCTTAAAAACTCGGGCCTAGAAATTAATAAAAAAATGTAATAAGTTGAGGATACTTTAATAATAAAACTGATCTAAAAGTAGGAAGCCCCGGATTGGGCCATTCTTAAAAATGAGTTGTTTTGGAAATAATGTGCACATTTGTATGTGTGTGCAGAAGAATTATTAAAATTATTAAAATTTAACAATTATTAAAATATTATTAAAAACTGGTATATTTTTTTTATGTCAAAGAGAAAAATCTTTTTAACTCTTAAAACTTTCGATTTCTCTTCGAGAGATGTTAATTTTCCTGCAGACAATCATTCCTTCCAAAATTACCAATTCAAATACTTGCGGCGTACGGAAGATCGTTAAGGCGGATGCAAATCGTCAGCTTATATGAGTCAGAATTGTGCGTGCTTTAGGTAATTATCTATGCGTGAAGTATCCTCTCTGATAGGTATATTGTTCGATGCGGCTGTTTAACCGGCGATAATTATGAAAATTACTAATCAACGGATGCGCAGTAGCATTAACATAACAGACGTAACTAATACACGTTATTTCCTATTTATGATAATAAAAAATCGACGTAATACTCAGGCTCTGTTACGAGATTATAGTTACAAAATATAAATTTAAATTTAAAAAAATCATATTACGAAAGCGAACGAGATATTGTTACCTCAGTTATCCTCTCTCTCTCTCTCTCTCTCTCTCTCTCTCTCTCTCTCTCTCTCTCTCTCTCTCTCTCTCTCTCTGTAGGCAATTGCGGCAATCAAAATCGTTATAAAAAAGAAGAATCTATTGCTTAAGTTAAAACATTACTTCTCGTGATGATTATCTAGAAAGAAATTAACATTTCTACTAAAAACGTGATGACGTCGGGACGGAATTCTTTTCAGCTCTCCTTCCCAACGAGATCTTAACGCCTCGTTATTACAAACGCGTTGCATCATATTTGCTCTGAGATAAATGCACCTTTCTGATGAGGCCATCGACTGGTTTAACTACAAACGAAATTATTCGGGGAAGCATTCTCGCGTCAAACTTCCTGGAAGGCTCGAAAAGCGTTCGCAGACTTAAGAGATTTTACTCAATTCGGCGATTTATTTGAATTCTTTTGAACGGGGTCGAATATAAGTCGGCCGAATATAAGTTCTCTTTTCGCGAGAAGTGGGAAATCTTTGACGTCATCGCTCTTGCTCCGACACGAACAGGTTTTAATTGGCTATTACAGAAATCCTCGTTATTATGTATTGATTATACGCGTAAACTAAAATAGTAATACATTAAAAATATCCTGTTCATGACGTATCGAGATAACTTTCCATATGCAAACCATGATCCTGATTACATATTTTTATTACATTTATCAGCATTTGAAACATATCCTTTCCTTTCTTTCCAGTCTCACCGACTTTAACGTAATTCTCATAGTGCCAGGATTGGACTTTCGACTTGGTTTCCCTTCTCTATAATCAACCCCGGAAATGCGCACGGCTGATCGCGGCCCTCCGGTTTCCTGCCGATGAATCGACTCACCGCGAATATTAATCGATCGCACCGTTACCGATCAGACTCGGAGATCCATCGCCGTCACACTCGTTTCCGCTCACGATATCATTTTCGCTAAGTCGCGGTTTTGCACGCTATCCACAATTTCTCCACTTGCTATCCCTTGAACGTATACATATACGCCATCCGGCGCGAATTTAAATCACGGACATTATCGGTCGTAAATCACTCTGCGATCGATCACGGCCGATAGCGATTCCGCAGAATTCTTGAAACGAACTTTTTTTCTGCTTTCCGATCTCTACGTCGCTCTTAATTTATTTTACCATTGTTACATTTATCTTTCTCTCTATTATTAATTTCGATTTATGGTTTGTGATTTACATTCGTAAAACAACGTGATTTTTATTACTTTCTATTTTTCGATGAAATTTGTCCTGGAATTATAAAGTTATTCTTTGCGGGCTTAATCGGCGCGATTCAATAAATTTTTTTGAGTACTCGTTAACATTATTATAACCTTCTAAGGAAAATTCTATTGTTTGGACTTTGCGATGCTAGTATCTCGATTTTGTATTTCTTTGCGTATTCTGGCGGCGTTTGTTGCAGGATAATAATTAACCGATCCATCTCCTTCTCTTTCTCTCTGGCCTCCCTCTCCGTCTTTCGTCTCACGCACGGCTGACTTCGCGCCGAGGTATGTGCACGTCCGTTTTTTATATTTGCACACGACGGTGACGACGTCGACGCCTTGAAACCTGAGAATTCCGTAAACGGCGAGACGCACGAGCCTGACGAGCCGCGGGAGCCGAGCGGAACATGTCAAGGATATGCAGGAATGTGCATCCTTCGTCCGCAGGAGTCGGCTGTTATCTTATGCTAATCGCGCGTGCGCGGCCATTTTTTCGAGGAGATATTACTATGAAATATCTTCTATATCCTGCGGACTTCTATATCTTGCGTTTTCATTACTTTGACACGCTCCTCGTGTCCCCGCCAT